TAACGTATAAGGTTCAAGGCGATGGAGCATTTGGTGCAACTGTAATGCCAGGCAGGCATTACAGGCAGTCATAGTACCATTCGTTTTTGTCTAACAAAATAGAGGTTGACAAAAATAGTATTGTTCCTGCCTTTCCGGTGGTTTCCGCTTCTGATACGGTCTTTGACTAGTGGTTTGCTTCGCTATAAGCTAAATCCTGCAAAAACTAAGACAAAATACTAAATATAAAAGGTGAGCATCGGCGAATGTACATAACACTATGCTTGCGGATTGGTGAATGTGAAGAAAAGTGGGTGGGAAAGGAGGCAGAACAGCGATGTTCAGCCCCTGCCCAAGGGATCTGTTGTAGTGAATGAGTTTACCCATCTTAACGCCTTTCTTGCCAGGAGCCAAGTAGTCTCTTCAAAACTTTTTCGATATGTTTTTTTTTTTACGATATCCAAAGCATATGGGACGGGAACGGAGCCATCTCCTCTCCGGTCCGAGAATATGACCCGAAAAGATCCCTAGTACTTCAGGACAGCGCAGATCCGACAAGAAATGATCTATTGCCTATCTGAGGCTAACAGGCTACCACGAATAGTACGCTTTATTTCTGGTAGACGGGGTGGAGTTCGTAGTGCCAAGTGGCGCACTATCAGAACGCATGGTCACGGGTTCAAATCCCGGTTCAGTATCCGCCCAAGCCAAACAAGCATGCTATCCATCTGCTGTCGGTTAAGTAGTACCAGACTCGTTCGGGGGGATAGAAGCACTGACATGAACACCGGCTGGCAACTAGTCATTGTATGGGCCACATACGCGTTCAATACACCACTACGATTCTGAATGGAAGTCAAATGTGGGGGCGCATCCCCCATACGAGATTGAACAACGCTTCATGACTTTGTCGTCTATCCTTCAATTCTGGTATACAGAATTGTAAAAATGCTGTAAATGCCTGGCAAGCTTCTCTCGTTGCATAGACCTACATAATAAGGCGTAAGCAAATGCAATTTGATCTGTTGTCCATTTCCGTGAGGAGAGACAAGATCTAGAAATAACAACTGAATGCTGATGAAAAAGCTAAGCTCAGTAAGTAAGCAAAGCTCAAGATGAACAAAACGAAACTTTTGGCAAAACTCTTCATAGAAGGTCTCAAGAATTCGTGAAAAGAAACCGAAAATCACTCTTCTATTCGAGCAACAGAATTCGTCATGAACGTCCCGTTTTCGAGCTGTGACCTATACCCTTCCCGAATATATCTGAGCATAGGAGGGACCTAGAGCAAGTAGACCCTTGTGCCCATTGACTGTGACAGATTTCTCACGGGGGTTCGTAGGGCGCCTTTAATTCAACCTCTGCTCAAAGATGCACCGTACTTAAAACTCCAGAAACGCACCTGATAGGAAAATAAAGGTTACATTGAAGCTTTTCTGCTGGGGAGATTCACCTTCGTCAATCATTGTGTTGATTGGTTCCCGACGCCTTTGGTCCTTTCATTTAACACTAGGAATGGTCCCTACTGTTTTTTAGTGTATGTTCGAAGACAGAAGACGTCATTTCTAGCTTGGAAAGAAACGAAAGGGATGCCCATCAATAAATGCTATTCGTAGAGGTTTAATTGAAAGTGGCTCGTTGCCATAGTTAACAGGGAACAGAAATTTTCTCGAATAATTGATGGCGGTCCGTGATAGCCAAAAAGGTATGAGTTATAGGCACCATTCCGAGATTTCCTCAAACCCTCGTTCTGAAAGCGCTTGTCTCTATTTTCTAACTGATTGACTCCTACTCCAAGCTTTTCCTATTTACATGGAACCTGACTGCCTGCACCCATTTCTTTTCCCTTTTGTCATCAATCTACTTATTGATATAAACGTTTCAAGCAGCAAGTGGCATGCTTTGAGAATGGCATCGGGAGATTTTCTGACGATCTGAGCGTCACCGACGCAATTTCTACTTCACCCATCGGAAATCTCGTCCAAATCACCCAGATTCTTTTTTTACGACTAACTGAGGTTTTATCAGAGCTGCTCTCCAGCTAGGAGCGACAAGGTTTTCGCTGAATGTGTCTGAAGGTCATTAAATTTTCCATACATCCTCATCAGTCGAGTCGGAAGTAAAAAGTTGAAAAGATTACATGAATAGTAAAACAGGTTTTTTTTCGAGAAAAAGTCGGCTGAAGAAAGAGCATGGAAGTCTAGTTGCAAGATTTCACGCAACGAAAGTACGAAGCGGCTCACATGAAGAGCTTTTCAGAGAAATACAATTTGCTAAAAACCATTTTCCGGATTACAAAGCCTTCAGCGAATTAAGCAAAAAGCATACGGCACGGTTTACAGTATGATTATATGCGGTCTATAATCATTTAACACAGGCTTGACAGTTCAGGTCATTCATAAGAAAGGCTTAATTAGAGCTATGGCTAAAATGCGTTTGAGAAGAGCAAGGACAGGGTTCTTGGTACTACAAGGAATCAAAAGCATCGCAGGAGTTCGAGTCACATACGAGATTAAGTGTTTTGAACACAATTCACCATTCTTGGTAGACCTGCCAGTTTTTATTGTTGGCTTATCCAACAATAGAAATAAGACGAGCGAATGAAGGTAGATGGTTATTATAAAAGTGAAGCAAGAGGATGTCAAAAGAAAATACTGCTCACATAATGAGGCATCTGACATTAATATTTGAGTTTATTAATAAGAAAGTATCGTTATCTAGTTTTTTTTGCCTTTCGAATTCTTCTACAATTTATTCTTCGGAGTGCTATTATTCAAGAGATGGACTTGACATCTAAATTAGGCCTTTTTGCATCTTCACTTACTCGACTGTGGGGCTAGGGTACGCTCGTTTAAAGATGCAGTTCACGATAATTTTGGGTAATCCAGATTATGATGCAAAATGGAAGACAAGATAGAAAATAGTGCTATGAAGGTGAAGAAACTGCGTGCATCGATGTTTCCAAAGTGAAAAAAGGCTTCGAAAAACCGTTAAAAAGAGGGCTGGACGAGAATGAAACCAGAAAAATGAAGAAGAGTGGAGCGTTCGGACGAGCTATACAATGTGTCTAACTTCATGCGTGGGTCCTGGTGCGAACAACAGACTATGGTAAGCAAAAATTCATTCACTTATAAGCACAAGTAAACAAAAACCCTTGTAACAGCAAAAATTGCTCACTTTTTTCAGCCTCTAGGGGTAGGACATTAAAAACGGGATCGCGGCAGCAAAAAGGTTAACAGAGGAAAAAGAATGGGAAAAAACATCGCCTCATCACTCGGCGATCAGCTGATTGTGTGTGGGTCCTAGAACGAATGGATGCAATCTGTACTGTATCGACACTCGTCTAACGTGACACCGATCGAGGGGCGGGAAAGCGAACTACGGCAGCAACGAGACTTCCACTATGCCCTAAACGCCGAGATTGTGAGAGCGAGAGGGTTGCTTCTACCCCCCCCCCCCCCCCCATGGGGGGCGCTGAGTATTCCTGAAGGAAGAACTCAGTAACCTTTTTCATCGTGAACCGTGCCTTAAATTGTTTAATTGCTATAGGCTCTGAAGAACTAGCATCGATTCTATGAAGTGTAAAATTCTTTTACTCTATCATAACATCCGTACATTTCGACGAGCAAGACAAAACCTGAGAAAAAGCCCAAAATCATGCCATCACAGCATTCTCTACAAAGACAAAACGACCTTTTTAGAGACATATTCGGGCATCTTTTTGCAATTATTTGAAAATTGCTAGAGGTTCATCTGTTTCTAAACAGTTTCTCTGTGGGCGGGTTGGGAGAGTAAGCCTTTCGCAGCATACAGGAATTTTTTGCGGATCATTTGGTACTTCGAATTTCATATCTTACAGCATTGTACATTTTATGCCTTTAATGTTTTTCCCCCATATTTCAAAATATAATGGAGTTTTTAAGTATCAGTGATGCTAGTTTAGCTAAACCTATCAGGAAGACCATCAGTAAAGTAATAAACTGACCCCACCCTAAAGGTTTGTTTGTGGGTTGTTTCAGGAGGCTGCACCGATCACAAGCGAACCCATGTAGGAAGTTCAAACAACTTGTCATGTCCCATAGCGTCAGTAAACGACAGTTCTGTACAGTTCTGGCTTGATGTAGTCAGCTCTCTGTGGAATTGCAGTAACTGAAATCTCGTCCGAATACCCCTTCCAAGTTATTTCCGTCACGGCAATCTCGCCCAACCTCTATTATCGTGAAAAATTACCGTGAACTGTGCCTCTAAGCGGGATGATGATGTTGTGAGAGAAGAAAGATTGAAATGTCGTTTAGAAAACTGTACTGTTCTCTTATGGGACCCTTGAACGATTCATGCGAAAGGAGCCACCGACCTTGCTGTAAATAACTAAAAAATACAACGGTCAAGACAGTACGAACCGATTGTACAGAAATTTCTGGACCACCTATCCAAAGTAAAGTAGTAATACTCGTTTTCTGAACTCTCCCCCATAGTACGAAAAGAAGAGAAGACAGGTACTGAGTAAAAGTCGGTCTCGTTTCGATCTCAATAAGTAAAGTCACACCCAGAACCCTTGTAACAGCAAAGTATGCGTGAAACACTTATTTGAGGGTGTCAATGGTCCTGCAAAACATGAATGCATACATGCAAATTTAAATAATAGTGTAGTAATTGTGTGGTGAATAACTGAAAGAGTGGAAAAGACACAAAGACTCGTACGAGTCTGCTAAGCTACGCATTATCTAAGCGACCTGAACTACTTTGTAGGTACTACATTCAAATGTAATTTGTATCTCTATATGAATGACTATGTGCTAGTACATAATACATTCGGAACTGCTACAACCTATGTGAGACTCTCTGAAAAAAAGTCCGTAAACCGATTGTGATGTGATGACCTTCAGAGGATTCGCCGAAGAAATCGAGTTCCCTTGAACCGAAAATAGAGTAAAGCGATTAGCGCCATGTGTTCTTAGGCATGATAAAGAGTGTGAAAATACGTATAAAAGCGCCATAAGCGTCAGTAGAAACAAGCAAGCATGACTGGTGACGTGAAGCACTGGGAATCAGAGGCCCTATCTCTGAGGAGAATCGCCTTCTTCGGTGTGGCCCTCTCTACCATGGCCACACTCGTCTGTGTGCTGTCGGTGCCAATGCTCTATAACTATATGCAACAGATGCAGTCGGTTATGCAGAACGAGGTCGATTTTTGCAAATCCCGTTCTGGAAATATCTGGAGAGAAGTCACCCGCACTCAGGTAAGCTTCTTAACACCTCTCTAAGTTTTCGAAGTATTTCCTAACTCTAAAAAATTTGTAATTTAAGGCTCTGGCCGCGCCAGCCAGAAAAGCACGTCAGGCCGGAGGAGGATGCTGTGGATGCGGTGTATCTCCAGCTGGACCTCCAGGGCCTCCTGGACCGGATGGAGAGCCAGGAGCAGATGGTCAGCCTGGACAACCTGGCAGGGATGGACCTGACGCACCACCAGCAACTCCAGCTCCAGATGTCGCACCGTGCTTCAACTGCCCTGCAGGTCCTCCTGGCCCGCCCGGAAACCCAGGAAGCAAAGGAGCACCAGGAAACCCTGGCTCAGATGGACAGCCCGGAAATCCTGGAAATCCAGGAGGAGCAGGTCCCGTTGGACCACCAGGACCACCTGGAAACGATGGTCAGCCTGGAAATCCTGGAGCCCCAGGAGCTCCAGGAACTCTTACTACAGTTCCAGGCACCCAAGGACCACCGGGACCACCTGGACCTCCGGGACCTCCTGGTCCTGATGGCCAACCAGGAAGCGCTGGAAACCCAGGTCAAGATGGTGGTCCAGGAGAACCTGGAGACAATGGACAGCCTGGTGCTCCAGGACAACCAGGAAGTGACGGCACTGACGGCGATGACGGAGAAGCTGGAGCTCCAGGTGGCTGTGACCATTGCCCGCCTCCACGTACTGCCCCAGGATATTAATTGCTTTGTGCTCAGTAATATCTCAAATCAGCTATCATTGAACTGTGTCATTAAACAGTTTGATCAAAATGTTTCTTCAATTCAACAGGAGAGGTTTCTGATACAGCAGTTAGAGTTGCTTCTCACACACATTTATCTTACCACGGCATAGTGTTACTGCTTATCAAAGTCTCTTCGGTAGTGTGTTAACAGAGAAAAGTGCTATCTGCAATGAAGCACATCTCAGGGGTTGTGAAGGGTAAGGTCATAGCAAAAATAGGATTCAAAAAACTACTTGAAAACGTAGCATTTGCATCATGCAAAGAAGCAAGATTATATAACTGATACTGGCACCGACACTTGACATTTCTTCATCACTAGTGAGTGTTCTTAGGAAAATTTGAAAAAAATCAAACCATTCTGCCGACGTGGTGTGTACATATTTAATTAAATTTTTTAGATGTTTTCGATCAACCCCTTTGGATGCTAGATTGCATACACATGAACATAATCTGATAAATGTTGCTCACTAGGGGAGACGGGCAGTAGGATCGGTTTCTGTAATCGATTAGCCGCACGCGGCTGTCGCGGACCATTCGTTCGTCGTTATTACAGCTATAGCGTTCTTCATACAGCTCAACCAATATGCGATTATTACTTTTGGCATGATGCTAATATTAAATTTTTTGTTCCTGTATTTTTTACTTTCTACTATATTCTGTTGCATATCTTCGCGCGCGGCGTCACTCGCCGCGAGGCGGCAATTTCGATCCTCCTCACTAGTCTACTGTCTCAAAAACTAGAGTCTACACTCTAGTTTTCGATGTCTACCTTGTTTCTATCAGGACAACATGAGACGTCAATTTCTTACAATCGCTGATGAAGTTTCCAAGGTGCTCAGTAGATCTCAAAAGCAGTCCGTTATTTGGTACCAGGCTCGTTTCGGGAGGTAGAAACACTGAAATGTACTTCGAGTGACCGGCAACCGCATTGTACAGGCCACATACACATTCAATTCGCCACTACGATTCTCAGTGGAAGTAGAATGCGTGGGCGCAACCCTCAGACGGGATTGGTTAAGACATTGTTTTTCGTCCCTCATCGCTGTAGAGCACTCTTGGCCTGGCTTCCTTTTCCGAGGTTCGGTCAGAAACCGGAGGTGTCCACGAAGGGAGGAGAATGTTCGTGCTTTGCGGCTCCTGCTGCATGTTGAATCCACTAAAATGTAATACCTATTCCTTGACAGAGCGATATTGGCAATCACGTGCAAACGATCGGCAATCATCGCATGTTCACGCCTAAGATCTGTGAAAGTTCACACGTCCTTTCGCAAAAATTGTGCTCAATGGCTTCCTTCAATGGGCTGTTGTCCTTTACGTAGTTGGTAGAGGTCTAATATTCCCTATTTCCGCAGGTTCCACTCCCTCTTATTTTTCAGATATGACACATTCTTCAAAGGCCATTTCATAGTACAACCTATGAATGCCACCACACTATGGCTGACCTGGGGGTTGGATCTGGCTCTGGGTCTCTCGGGGTTGGATTTGGCTCAGGGTCTCTCGAGCTTGGGTCGAGAGACCCTGAGCCAAATTCAATCACCAGAGACTGATCATTCTGTGACCCAAGCTCGAGAGACCCAGAGCCAGAAAAACTAAACAACGCACAGAGCAATACCAAGGTTGGTTGGGAGTTTCGGGGTGCTCAGGAAGAAATCAGTGAATGCTCAATCTTCAGGACTATAGCTGTCCTTAAGAATGAGAGGCCGTCGAGATAATTTTTGACTTCAAAAATTCACAAAATCAGGACGTGCCGACAGGAAACTGCCTTCAGTAGTACTGGTCGTTCTCATGTGTAATAGGCCAGGATTAAAAGGTTCATGTGGTAGTTATGAGGAGCTTAAATACACGCTGATCCTGAGAACTGGCCAGAGGCAAGTATCAAAGTGTCAGTCACCTGACTGAATACTTAATGAAAAGCCAAGGGGTCCAGAAAAGCGCCTATCGTTGACAGCGCACTTGGCGAAATTATAAATGAAACAAAATTTCCAATTACACTCGTCTCACTGCGTGTAGTGCAGCACTACCTATTGGGGAATTGGGAAATGTAATAAGGAGAACATCCTTGAGTGGAGAAGATAAGTCAATCCTTTTCAACAACAAATTAACAGTTCGAGGGAAACGTCTCGAATTTGCACGATATTCAAAGGCAAAGTTCACGATCATTTTGGGTTATCCAGATTATGACGAAAAATGAAACGGAAAATGAAGTATTAGGTCGTGAAGAAAGTTCTTGCGGTTTTGCGCCTCAAACTTCAAATGCATATATCTCGGCTTGAACGAAACTTCATCAATCGAAATAACAACCATTACTGTCGACACACTTTTGTTAACGAAAAACAAGTTCGAGTATCCCATTCGCATAGAAGTCCGGAAATCTAGAGGCGATGAAATCGTCGAATGCCGCGGCAGCATCATGTTGGGTTTTGAAGCATTTCACCTTGAGGAAGCGTCTAGATGTTTAAAGAAATGGTGGTCTATGGGAGCAAGGTCTGGGGAATATGGTGGATGCGGGAGAGCTTCATAGCCTAGCTCCATCAATTTTCTCAGGGTAAGTTGTGCGACGTGAGGCCGAGCGTTGTCGTGGAGTAGAATTGGCCCCCTCCTATTCACCAGTGCCGGGCTCATGAGCTGGACTTTTCGATGCATTTCGTCAATTTCTTGGCAGAACTTTTCGGCTGTTGCGGTTTCTCCCGGATCCATGAAGCTGTGGTGGATCAGCGCGACTGCAGACCACCAAACAGCACCATGACCTTCTTTCCATGCTGCTTCGGCTTGGGAAAATGTCGTGGGGCTTGATCCTTGTACAGCCACTGGCCTGATCGTCGCCGGTTGTCGTACAGAATCCTTTTCTCATCACACGTCGCAATACGGTCTAAAAATGGATTGTTCCTGTTGCGCAGAAGCAAGGCGGAGGCGAGCTCGTAGCGGCGGTCTTTCTGGTGCTGAGTCAACTCATGCGGCACCCACTTATCAAGCTTCTTCTACTTCCTGATCTCCTGCATGTAGATGCCAACCGTCCTGCTGGAAACACTCAATCTTGAGGCAATATCCTTCAGCGTTGTACGTGGATTCCCTTCCACTAACGCTCTCAATTGTTCGTTGCCAACGGCCGATGGCTGCCCATCATCTTCCAGGCTCTCATCACCGATACGAAATTTTTCAAACCACCACTGTGCTGTGCGTTGATTCATCGTACCTAGATCTAAGTCATCGTTGATATCCCGGTCCGTTTCCGTCGCACTCCTGCCCAATTTGGATTGGAAAAGAAAAATCATGCGGATCTGTCGTTTGTCCATGCTGATTTCGACCTTCTAAAAAACCCCAGGAATCACTCCAGGGCAAAACCGATTAAATATTTAGATAGGGCAAGAAATGCGTTTCAGAACGGTATAAAACTTGCAAAAATCTAATAGCAAATAACATCGCGGCGAGCATTTGAAAATTGGGCGACAAAAACCGCAAGAACTTTCTTCACGACCTAATATAGTGCGATGCTGGCGAGAAAACCACGGAAATAGGTATTTCTGTAAAGATTGAAGGTTACAAAATGTCATTAAAAAAGGGCTTGATAAGAATAGGCCAAAAAAGAAGTGGAATAGGTGTTTGGACGAGCTGTACAATGTGCGCCATTGTGTACATCTGAATGCATTAAGCAAAAATGTATCGTACTGTCGTTGAGTCATGCCATAAGTTAGCTAAAACATGACTAACAGCAAAAATAACCCAAATTTTTCATCTTCGTAAGGTAGAAAACTAGAAAAACGACCAGCACAAAAAGATTAACATAGAATAACAGAATTCAATAAAACATCCCCTCACCACTTCGCGATCAGCTGATTGCATGCTGAATGTGTGGGTCCTGGTGCGGATGGCGCAACCTGTATCGCCTCGACACCCGTCTAACATATCGATAGGCGTGGATGTCGACGAGTCCGGTAATGGGACTCATTTTATGCCCTATCTACTGAGTTTTTCATCCCGACAGCGTCCTTGTGTTCTCCTTGGAGTCACTGAGTGTTCCAGGGGGAAATGTCAGGAACCATTTTTTTCGAGAGCTGTGCTTCTGGATAGAAATGGGTAAGGTAAGGTACGAAATAAAGGGGCTAGCTTGATCCAGCGCTGCTCGATCAGTTACAAGACGCCCCCATTAGTGAACGATTTGCAACATAGGTAAAGTATGATAATTCAAAGGCACTGCTACTTTTTTAGAAGCCAGTTCATGTCCTCAATCATAGCAGGTGTGTAGAGGAAGAGTATACACCCAGACACCTTTTGAAATACTGTAGCCCTGACGGAGCCCATTTCATATCAGAAGCAGTGAAAGGGTACTTCATCAATTTCGTATAATCCACGAATCTTCCTTCTCATATTCAGCCCTCTAGCCTACCTCACCCAATTCTCCGGCCAAAATGTTTCCAGGAGCTTATTTTCTTATTGGTCATTTTCTATCTGATTCATCTTCCACTGTGATATTGCCTTCGGCAAGGGCATCCACGATCACTTCTAGCCAACTCATTTCCAGAATTCCCGATAGTCGCTTTCCTTCAGCTTCGGACTTCATTGCCTCTTTATTAGAAGATCTTGTGTTCTCTACACATCCACACCACCGCAGGCGCTGCTCTTTGATCTTCAGTTGGACAGGAACTGTATGTAAGACCTCTTAATGTCTTATTTTCTCAGCCGGTAGAGTCGAGCCCACCCTAATCCCACAGATGTGTGAATCAGTTCACATTTCTACACACTATGAACGGCAAAAAAGGGGAAAGCGAATGCTAACTCCGTGTATATGGCATTTTGTAGAGAAAAAACAAACGGCCTAATCAGCAAACGGGCATTTCGTTCGCTGTGTACATGCCGTTCTACAAATGTGGGCAAAATAAAAAGCAAGAGCATCTGAACAACAAATGGCCTCTCGGCAATTTAACGAGGCAATACGATCCCAAAGCGACGTAATTGAGTTTG